CCATCAGAGAGACATTAAAATGCTTTCAACCAATCAGGACGTCTTGATTCCAGAAAAATGAGTTCCACTGTGGTGCAACTAGGTTAATCTCTTATATATTGTAGCACTGGGAGCCGGTGGGAAGCTGTGAGATGACAGCAGGTCAGTCATTGTAAAAGTTTTATCCTCATTCCAACCCACGGCGCAGTGAAAATAGCTCATTTGAGGGTGCAACAGCAACCAGGGAGGAAAATGAGCTCTTTCTACATGCGAGAGCCAGACATCTCCAGAGCCCCACAGATGAATCTCCCCGTCTCACAGACTGCTGCTTCCTCCCACAACCGCACTGCTGGGTCATGATGAATACTACAACATCCTGCTGCATACTTGGAGGTTGATTTCACTGCACGGTATGCTTCATTGTGGAAAGCATTCCCTGAGGTCACCAACAGAAACTTTCATAGAGCCATACTGATCATTGGGTTGACCAATCATTTTCATCGATATTCACATCTTTGGTTCTTCAACATCGGGTCTCAGTGCCATTTGGTGGGTCTTTAAAGAACATCACCCAACAACACAACTAAGAGTTCAACAGGAAACCGCAGTGCTCATAGGAAACGCAACTTACTTATTGTTTGCATAAATGACTAATCTTTTATGCAACAGCCATTCATTCTGAAGTAAGAAATGAGTAGCATTTAATACTCACAGGCCAAATAAACTTGAAAAAATATTGGTGATTATTAATATAATATTCATAATGCATACTATGCAGGGCTCAAGGCTAAGGATTTTTTCTACTGTCCCGATCGGGCCAGTGGTTCAATTTTTTACTGGCCCTGCCCTGACCTGCCTGCCGCACACACATTAATAGTTGTTGTTATCATTGTTTTTGACCCACGTTTCCTTGTACTCTAATAAATAAGCTTATATGACACCAACATTTTAGATACCAGTTAAATTGTACAATTCTCTATTCCAATTTCAATACCACAACAAAAACTAGCCTAACAAATATAAAGTTCAAACATTATTAAAGACAAGTGAACAGTCGGTAAATAAGAACAAATTACAAGCAAAAGCACAAATAAATTAAAAAAAAACAATTGCTTTAGATTTTTAGATTTGTAGGTGTTCAAGTACAGAAATTAAATACTTAAACGTAAAATAACATTGCATATTCTTCACTGTATAAATATAAGGATTAATCTTTTTTTATTCTATAGGTGTATAATGCCTTGCGCTTTGTGTGCTTTTCATGTCTTCTAATGCTTTTAAATCGACTGAATGTTTAAATTGGCAAAGCTTTAAAAACACGTGCAAATGATAAACTTTTGTGAGGACACAGCAGTGCTCAATCAGGCCAGTGACAAATCCATCTACTGTCCCGAGCGTCTTTTACACTGGCCCCATCGGGCACAGCGAGCCCTGCTATGCCTTTATTTTTGCACTCAAATGATTAAGCTATTTATTAGTTTAACAAAATAGCAATGAAATAATAATTAAAATGAAATTATTGTACATTTAATCATAAAAACACTTGCATATTGGTTGTTAAAACATTTAAACATCTTTAATAATTACATTTTCTAAAGTGACACCTGTACTTCACGGGTACAGATGCTAACATTGTGAAGATTCATAGTACTCACAAATTACTAGGGCTGGGTATCGATTCAGATGTTCCAATTCGATTCGATTTCGATTTTCACGCTCTCAATTCGATTCGATTTCGATTTTTGATTCAATATTCGATTTCGATTCGATGTTTGATTTCAATTCTCGATTCGATTTGACTATATGAATGAATATAGATTTAATACAAATCCTATATTTGACTGGAAGGTGGTGTTGACGTCGGGAACGCACCTCAATCCGCCATTTTAAGCAATGAATGAATGACGGACTCTCCGTTGTAACATCGCGCAAGGCAAATAAGGGGGTGACATCTAGTGGATTAGACTAGTAATAAGATTAACGTAAATCTTATGTTCAATGTTTGTGGAAATAAATATTGAAAAAAAAATCGATTCGTGGCCTTCGAGAATCGATATTGAATCGACCACATTTTAAAAAACGATATATCGAAAAATCAATTTTTTTTGCCCAGCCCTACAAATTACAGTGTGACATTGTTTTTTTGTAAGCCAGACAATACCAAATTCAAAGATTTAAGTTCAAAATAATACACATGTAGAACCATTTTTTATTATTTTACTACTTTGACAACAAAGAACGAAATTATCGAAATAACGCAAATGTACATATCGCAATATGCATATCGCTACAGCTTGCAATATTTGGGGCCATGAACAAAAGACAGAGAAAATCACTCACTGCTCTTACCCAAGTAACTTTTGTAGCTAAAATAAGAATCAGTGCATATTGAATTCAAAGAGTAAATACTACGCAGTGTTTTATTTTTCCTTTTTATTATTCAGTTCCTATCCTACACTAATGTTAAAATGACATTTTATGTAATGCTTGAGTAAAACACATACCATTCACTTTCAGAAGTTGTTGTAGGGGTGCTTTCTTATTAGAATCAGAATCAGAATGAGCTTTATTCACCACTTAAGTGTGCGCAAACACAAGGAATTTGTTGTGGTTTTACAGGAACTCTTGGTACATACATGCATACAAATAACCATATATATATGACACAAGATAGTTATAGAAGTTCACAGAACTGACTCAGCAACAGCTGAGTAAAACTGTTTCATCTGAGCATGTGGCACTTTAAGCATTATCGTATCGCATATCGAATATCGCATTATTTAATGAGTTATCGCATATCGCATTTTTCTTCAATATCGCACAGCCCTAATATACAGTATGGATATTTTAATAAATAAAAAATTGTAAACAACTGCAATTTGTAAACAAATGCCAACAATAACTGGGACAAAAGTGCAGAAAAAAAAACGTTTATCAGTAGCGCTAGATTAAGAAACCGATAAAGATAGTATCGATGCTCAAACAAAATATCGGTCAAACCAAATGTTGGTCAATATAACGTTACTAACACCAAGTTATTTTTAACAGTGCAGTCCATTGGCATTTTTTGTGCGAGTAAATCTATAACGAGTTCTATCGCACTCTTCATCTTCAAAAACACGACTATATTTGGTTAATCCCCACTAACTAGTAGGCTAATTAGTGTAATAGTTTACAGAGCCACATGGTACAAACATTTCAAATACAATGTTGAGATTAAACACTTGCAGTCTAGCATTAATGTGATTAACACAACACCCACATTAAACCCACATTTTGGCGCAAATGACTGCATAAAAAGTAACATTGCGCATTAAATTTGCACTAGGGATGTAAGGATTACCGGTTTGACGATAAATCATGATAAAATTCCCGACGGTTAGTATTACCGTTTCATATTTTAATTATCATTAAAATCATATTAGATTACCGCGATTTGAACAACTCACGATAAATAAATACTGTCCAGCATAAAGCACAGTTTTCAGTAACAGTCTCACATGCGCACAGCACGCAGAGTAGTTTCGTTTTGAGTGAAAATAGGGCGGAAAAGCTGTGAGGTTTTAAAAGAGTGCTAAGGGAATTATACAAATGAATATATTAATTAATTATATGAATGTACCTCTGAAGGTTCTGAAGTCTTCAGAAACGATTCGATGGCATTTTGTTTTCATTTTCGCTCCAAGTAATACCTAAAGGAAGTGTTCTTAATCGCAATACTGCTTTGTCCACGGAGGTTACGGGAAACAGCTGTAATTCAGCTTTTCCATAAGCGCCACCTGCTGTCAGAGAGTGGATTTACAGAGACTTATATATACATTCAGCCTATTAACTACACAGAGCCGTTGTTCACTGACGAGCTGCGCAAAAAAATCGCGCGAATATGAACGTGGTTTTGCGCAACTCGTCAGTGAACAACGGCTCTGTGTAGTTAATGCTGCTCAATGTGAAAGCCCGCAGGTGATGGAGATTTACCGCTGATTACAGAACCGTCTTTACTGACAAGATGCACGTTAAATATCGCATGCTATTTATCGTGCAGCCCTAATTCAGCCTGTGTGCAGTTTCTGTCTGGCCAAAACCGAACCGAATTTGCATGCCCTGCTGTTAATTTTGACCGGTTGATGAAAAACAAGCTTATGTGGATTCTACACATTTAAACAATTCAGATAAGGTATCTAGAATTATTTATGGAGCAGATAAAATACATATAATCATTTATTAATCAATTATCATTTTGACTTAACTCTTTTCTTTATTTAAAGGCTGAAATGTGATGTTTACCGTTTTATCGAAACGTTTTCAAAGCTTTATTTGAACATTTACATTAGATATTTGAACATGCTATTAAACTGTTGCCAGTCAAGTTGTCATTTAAAATCCGAACATCCTTGGTAATATTGTTTTAGTGATTATGCAAACAAAAATTCATTTTATTTTTTGTTTGTTGATTTTTAAATATAAAACTTGAAGTGATTTATGTGTTGGTACTTTTTGAACATCTCCAGCACATTTGAACAATACCGTGATAATACTGATAACCGTGATAACTTTTGGTCACTATAATCGTGATAAGAAATTTTCATACCGTTACATCCCTAATTTGCACGTTTGGTAAATTACTAACGTTACACCGAATTTATGTCAATAAGCCATATTGTTCGCAGCGCCAATGGCTAATCTTAAAGATCCCTAGATCAACGAGTCTGTAGCTGAGTGTATTCGCTTTAATAAGCACGTTAACAAACCTGGCAACCAATTTAAACAATGAACGCAAAAGAAATTAACTTGTTGCGTTCGCGCTCCATTTTGACGTTGGCCAGTCTGCTAAAGAACGCAACGCTGCAGCTCGGTCGTACATACGCCATAAAGCAAAAACAAACATGTATTATCTGAATATTAAACCCATTAGAGTCCTACTAAACAGAAGCCCACATGTAAAGATTGAAAACCGCGTTGACTTACAGCAATAGCTGCTAGCCAGCTTCAGATGAAACTCTACGATGTCGCAAATTCCTTACCTGTTAAACGCAACTTAACGGGTCCATTTCTTCTAACTCCTTGATTAGACATGTCCTTGACCCTTATCCCGGCTGATTATAACAGAAAACGAGTTGAACGTGCTGTAGAGTTGCTCTCTGGTTGCCCTCAGCGCCAGTTACACAGTGAACAGAAAATAATGGAGTCACGGTCCTGTGGCCCGGATGTGCACAGCCCTGCCATGTCTACATGCATACATACACCCGCGCCGCGGCTTTTAACGCGCTCCTCGTATTTCTACCAAATCCACGACGTGCCCTCAAAAGATCCGCTTACAAAGACCTCCTGAAGCTCTTCGCATTTTCCACGAACGAGCCGCGCTCGGGTTCTGCTGCCATTGCAAGGAGACCTCGAGGGAAAAGTAGTATCGCTACAGGCGACTGAATTGAGGAAATGTGGTTTGTAAGGTGTCTGGCATCTGCTGAGCCACTAAAACCGCCCAAACAGTGACTTCACACCCACTTCTTATTCATAGCACTGTGATCCTCACTTTATCTTTATATACAGGTGCATCTCCATAAATTAGAATGTCGTGGAAAAGTTCATTTATTTCAGTAATTCAACTCAAATTGTGAAACTCGTGTATTAAATAAATTCAATGCACACAGACTGAAGTAGTTTAAGTCTTTGGTTCTTTTAATTGTGATGATTTTGGCTCACATTTAACAAAAACCCACCAATTCACTATCTCAACAAATTAGAATACTTCATAAGACCAATAAAAAAAAACATTTTTAGTGAATTGTTGGCCTTCTGGAAAGTATGTTCATTTACTGTACATGTACTCAATACTTGGTAGGGGCTCCTTTTGCTTTAATTACTGCCTCAATTCGGCGTGGCATGGAGGTGATCAGTTTGTGGCACTGCTGAGGTGGTATGTGGAAGCCCATGTTTCTTCGACAGTGGCCTTCAGCTCATCTGCATTTTTTGGTCTCTTGTTTCTCATTTTCCTCTTGACAATACCCCATAGATTCTCTATGGGGTTCAGGGCTGGTGAGTTTGCTGGCCAGTCAAGCACACCAACACCAATTCTAATTTATTGAGATGCACCTGTATATGGCTACTAATTTTTCCCACTTTATTTAGACTTAAAGTCTTGGATAACGAAGATACACACAAATGAAAAACCACTTGTTCTTTTCCATTTTTATTTACAACAAATAAAATTGAAACATTTGTATGTACAAGTCAGAACATGAGGTCCTCACAAAGACAAACATGAACAAGACAAGCAGTTGGCAGAAATGTTCAGAACAATCATACAAAAATACCACAGTTTAGATATTTAGAAGTTGAAAGTGCTTGGGTTTTCATTGATTTGGAACGCATAGCCGTCGGTTGTCGCTTCGGGGGCAACGCATTCGTCCTCTTCCTCCTGAAAAACAGAAATAAAAGCAGCAATTTAGGAAAAGCGGGCTTTCTAAGAAGTATAAGAAACAAAGAATGCACAAGGACAGCTAGTCAAACCACTTTCGAGAAGCTGAGAGACTTGTTTTGACAAATATAACGGAGTCAATTAACATGCAAATTGCTAAAACCTATACAATGCATGGTATATTGTCCACAGATGTGTTTGAGAGATTTTTGTGTTTGTCACATTCTTTGCACTTGGCTAATGAAGAGTTTCTGATAATGCATGACTATACATTTAACGTTCAACCGACCTCTCCAGAGAAGTACTTTTCAATGAGGTTGAGGGAGGCCTTGTAGACCATTTCATTTTCGTGGGACTGCAAAGCTTCTATTTTGTCCAGGCCACCACATTCCTCAATCATCAGGGCCAGCTTTTCGACCTCACCAATCTTTTCACCAGCCTAAAATGAAAAATAAAATCCCATATTTAAAGTTATGGATCTACTGTCATGTACATCCAAGGGAAACTTTATCAGGGGGGGGAAAAAAAAAAAAAAAAAAAGGAA